CAGGGAGAATTTTTTTGCTAGTTTTCACTTTCATGTGGCTTTTTTTTTTGTTCCTTCTCTTGCATTTTCCGCTCTAGCCAAGCTCTCGTGTTCTTCTGTTCTCCATTGCACTCCTGTTGGGGAATTGAAGAATGTGGGAAAAATACACAATGACCCAATAGTTTGGGGGTCCCATTAGTTAGGCCAGTTACATTTTATTATTTTTTTTGCAATGAGTCTATGAGAAATAGGTGAACACTTTTTGTTGCTTTTTTTGCTGATAAATGCAGCCCTATCTCCACCTATGGGCTAGGGGTGAGTAAATACCAGCCTTATGCTCTGACATTTCTTTTCCGCGTATTTTGCTTCCTCCCTCTATGTCATGGTTCGCTTTCTGCACTTGCACTGGGAAGTCTAAAGGAAAGAGGTCATTAAGCGGTTTGTCTTCAAGTAGATTTTTACTAAAAGGGTGGAGTGCACTATAGTTGTCCACCACCGCCAGTATCCGTAACCACTATCACACGACATAAGAAAAAGAAAAAAACTTACGCCGAGGACACAATGGGATTCGAACCCGGGTCCCCTGCATTCCAGCCCAGTATTCTACCACAGAGCCATGCCGGTGCTTTGAAACTTTGTTGCAAACTGGCCTTAGGCAGATGATGTCTGGACATTAGTCATGTTAATATGAGTAATTAAGTGTTTTAGAACAGCAAAGGAACAACCTGGCATCACACAATGCAAATTGAGTTACAAGTGCATTGTCGAATGTTCGAACCCATTACAAAAGATTCAGACATAATTCTTCATCATAGGCAGCCACAGCTTAAAATAACTGCACAAAATTCCTTGCAAGTGTATAGCAGGTAGCACGTTTCTCTGAAGAATGACGAAGCGTGGCATAGTGAATGCCAGCCCACTACTAAAAAATTATAATTATTTATGGTTTAGTGAATACCCTGCAAGTGTGCTGCTTGCAGCAGTTACCCAAAGAGCGTTTAAAAATGCTCTGAAAGGCCGCTCTTCCAGTTTTTGCTGCGACTGTGGTGGTTTTTTTGCATTGAGTTTAGTGGAAACCTTACAAACAGTCCCGTGTTGTTTGGTTTAAGCAAGAATTCGTCTTAACAGAGTTCGTATTAGAGGGAGTTTACTACTGCCAGTGCCTTCACGTGTGCATGGCAATAATCTGATTTGTTTGTTCAAGTCGTAGCAGGTAGGTTTTATGCCAGCATGTGGCCTACGGGTGAAGCTCTTCATATTCAGGGGTTCGCACAATGTTTGAGCTTTATGATCTTTGAGCTTTATGGTTTATGATTGCCGTGGACGAAACTGTTGTTAATAAAGGCTTGATCATAGCATCCATGCAGCTCTAAAAACATGCGTGCGGCCTTGCACACTCAGTAGAAAAGAAATTGTTGAGCACGGCATATGTTGCTGAATAAACCTAACTCACTAAAGCACGATAATGGATGTTGACTATGCAGTTTTGAAGCAATGCAGCAAAAAGGAATGTACTGCTTGTTGTAGCTTTGACCCTAGTCGTTATTGATGCCATGATAGATAGTTGATTGATTGATATGGGGGTTAACGTCCCAAAACCATGATATGATTATGAGAGACACCATAGTGGAGAGCTCTGGAAATTTCGACCACCTGGGGTTCTTTAACGTGCACACATATCTGAGCACATGGGCCTACAGCATTTTGGCCTCCATCGAAAATGCAGCCGCTGCAGCCGGAATTCTATCCCGTGACCTGCGCGTCAACAGCCGGGATTTTAGCCTCTAGACCATCACGGCAGGGTCGATGATAGTTTGTGCCCACGCAGTTCATGTGCGCTGAGTTAAATCGAAAACGAAACAAGTTTGCTGCAGCCGCTGAGCCTTGGTTTCTAGCGGCATTGTAGATGACGACCACGCCTTTCTGAAGGCCAGTAATCGTTTTGGCTGTTTTTGAATGCCATTTTTCTGCCTTTGTCTCGCATGTTTGCGGCGCTTCGCGATTGTTACGCATTGAGGATCATCTGAATTAACCGGGTTGCGGCCAGATGGGGTCGAATCGATGAAAGTCTGATGTCATTAAAAAGAAATGCATATGCTTGCCGGGACTGTGTCTCCCACACACTTGAAATATTCGATCTTTCAGATGGGGTAGCAAAATTAATGAACTTTTACTGTAAAAAAATGAAAGAAGAAAAGTACACGAGATACTCTGCTGTCCAAATTCAAGCTTTATTATTCAACTCAACTTCCCGTACAAAAATCTTACTGTAAGCAATACAATCTGGCGTGTCGTGCGGCACAGCATTGTCTTGATGTAAAGCATAGCGTAATGTCGCTGTTTTGCACTGTACTTCTGCTTTAAGCTTTAGTTTTTAGTTGCACGTGCATTTCTTAGAGCTGTGGGGTCTCGAATTGGCGAGCGAGTGCCAAGCCACGCTCTTGGAGTGAAAGGACACTGTAGATACGGTCGGTACAAACCGAACAACACACACACATTTATTTAACTACTTCAGAACGACGATATTGTCTGCCAAATTATTATAACATAAATTGTAGTTAACGCGTTAAGGACATCCGTACACAATATTACTATACACTTCTTGACAAGCACTATAACACTACAAACACACAATAACATGATAAATACAATAACACACCCAAAGTGGCATCGTTAATGCTTGACTACGCACGAGGGCCCTCGACGCACATCCCGCGGTGCAATGCACCGGGGAGCCACGCTAGATACAACCGTTCGCGGCAACCGCCACTTGCAGGAGAGACTCGCTCAACTCTCGCCCGCCACCAAGGCTTGCCTTACGCCATTGGTCACCGCCGGCGCTACACCATGATGATGATAGTGGTGACCAACACGAACACGCCACCTACCGCCAGGTGGTTGTAACCCTAAATGCGGCTTTTGGGCAACACAAGTGTGCCACGCAGCGCAAACAACTTTACAGGGGGTGTCAGCACCCCCACACAGTTTCTGTAAGCTTCCGTTCTGGCAGGCTGGTGCTGAAATGTGAACAGAGACAACCCGAAGCAGAAAGCGTAGCTGGTCAATCTTTTGAGCTGGTTTGCATTGTCCTTGCTCTCGGAGCCAAAATACAACCAAAAAAGCGGCACTCTCAAACCTGCTGCGTCTGCTGATTAAATTGATTAGCCACAAACACGCTGGGATGCTAATGTATAAATTCATTAGATCAGCCACAAACAGACTGGAATGCTAATATCTACAATATTTATAGTGTCTAGCGGCAGCCATTATTGCTTTTCACTGATTTGATAGCGCAACTTCAGTGTGCATAAAAAAAAGTCCTAATTGGAGGGAGGGGGGGGGGGGGGTAGAATCGGCAGAACCCCCGTATCTTGGAAATCGATGTTATGCTATGCACACGAAGGGAGGGTGATTGCATTGTAATTTTTTTTATTGAGCGAGACGTTACAAAATTGGGCATAAGATATCTACAAATTTTGTACACACAGATATGTTACAGTCGGATGGTTGCTGTTGCATAATGATGCCAACAGCCTCATGGGTATTGGCAACACCAGAATCGGTAAGTTGATATGTAGTGCTTTTGCCAGCGACGATGGCAGCCCGGGACATTGCAAGATAAATAAGCTTCAGTGGATGGCACTTCACTACAATTGTCGTTAAGCAGATGTGATGGCTGCATGATAGTACGTATTTACTGTTTGTAAGATTGGATAGTGAGCACTGCAACCACAATTGACGTTTCTGAAGCATTAGGGTCTATTTGAAAGAAAGTTTTGAGACGTGGTGTGGCTCATTGGTAGAACACTTGGTTGTCACGCAAAATGCTGGGCTTCAATTCCTGCTGGGTTCTGACCCGCTGCCGATGTCAGGTTTTTCTTAACACTCATGCATTAAAATTACCCATGTTCTTACCATTCCTGGCTAAATATGAATTGTCAATAACCTGTGGTACATACGCACATACGAGTGGCACATACTTGTCCATGGATATGTGCCACTGTTTTGTGCGAAGTGCTTGACAACGTATGCGATGATATTGGGACTTTATTCATGTCATGACCAGCGAGCCATATCCGTCAAACCATCTTATCCTCCCATACTAATTTTAATTTACCCCAAGTTGAGGGACTGGTCATGAGAAGACCCAGGCGTAGGTGGCCAGACAGACGGATGGATGCCAAAACTGCTTGCATTACGCAAAGAAATGCTTTACATAAAAAAAAAAAGAAGAAGGAAGCTGTAGTTCTCATCAAGAACGAACGATGCAGTATGTCTCTGAACGGTGGGGATAGTCTTGAAAACGGCAATGGAAATCATTGATACTGGGCTATAGATTATGGTTGGGTAGAGGAAGAATTGAGGTCCATTGTTCAGTTTCTTTTAGTCAACTTCACTGCAAGACACTAGTGTTGTATAGTGTAGAAATGGTAAACAGTTGTTCTGTGATTGCTGTAAAATTCCAAGCAGAGGCTTCGTGTGAGCAAGTGGAAATTAGTGGTGGGTAATGGCATTAACTCATAGAAGCACCAAAAATTCACGATGGTGACTAGCAGTTTTTTTTCCAGCTCTGCTCTTATGTGGGTTGTGGCGCATTGTAACACTGAACCGCTATTTGCACCGACCATATTTAGTTGCATAATGATTGCACTTTTTTACATTTTTTTCTGACAATTATAACAGTCTTCTGTTATAATCACAATCTCGATCTACACCTGGCACTGTCCGCACTCTTTTACATTTTTTCCCCACAATTCTAACAGTCTTCTACTAAAATTGCAATCTCAATACACACCTGGCACTGTCCACACATTGAAAATGACGATTTAGATTGTGCAAGGCGCATGCACATCTTTTTAACATCATTTATATTAATGTTCTTGTCGGCATGATTCAGGTGATGCAAGGCTTCTGGAGTGGCATGTCATTAATGCCCCCTGCAATATGTGCCTGTAGTGTTGTCAGTGCATGGTTTGTTGCATATGTTTTAATCATTGGTATGTTGCATGTCCTTGATGCAGGAGCGCAAGAAGAGTCGCTTTGGCAATGCATTCCACTTGTGTCGTGAAATCCTTCGGCTGACCAAGTTGGTGGTGGACAGCCATGTGCAGTACCGGCTGAACAATGTGGATGCCTTCCAACTGTCCGATGGCCTGCAGTATGTGTTCGCCCACGTAGGCCAGCTGACGGGCATGTACCGCTACAAGTACAAGCTCATGCGACAGATCCGCATGTGCAAGGACCTCAAGCATCTGGTCTACTATCGCTTTAACACGGTCAGTCCTGTGCTCCTTGCTGTCGACAGTGCTGTCCTGTCATGCTTTTGTTTCCCTCTGTTAACATTTTCATTGAAGAGGGGGTAGCCTGCCTGCAGGTGACAATTTTCTCACGAGGCAGTGTCCAAGTTGTGTGGGCACAGTCTGAAAAGTTGAGATGCTTGTACAGCTCGGCACTTCAATTTCTTCATTGTTGCCAACAGCGAGAAAACCCAGACATATCTGCTTGAATCTGCTCCAACTCTTTCATTCAATTTTTCATCTTCAATGCCTGCTGCCGACCTCTAGAGAAAATAGGGGAGAGATAGGCACTTTATTCTTTATTCAAGAAAAACCTTACAGGCCCCAGAACAGGGCATTGGGTAAGGGGGGGAGGAATCGGAATGGTACAGACAGGTAACGAACAGTTTACAGGCAGGATCAGTGCAAGAACAACGAAAAACTATATATATATATATATAAATGAGATCACATTTTAGGCTATACAGGGCGAGGTAAATTTGAGGGAATACAGCACTTGTTGATATGAACATGGCGACAGAGGGATACATTTTAAAATAAAAGACAAGGGGAATATAAATCACCGTTACGCAATGCACTCAGAATACAAAAACAGGGTCACATGGTGAACAGAGTGAGTAGCTGACGGCGAAATGTATTGGGATTAGATATGGAGGCTATGCAATCAGGGAGGTCATTCCAAAGACGAACGGCCCGAGGCAGTGGTGATGAATTGAATGCATTAGTTGACCCGTATATGCGCATGAAGCTGAACTGATTGTGCAATCTGCGTGAAAAAGAGTGAGGTGTTTGAAGCTGAAGCCGCGTTCGTTTATTAGAGGTAATATATTTCTGGAACAGACAAAGAAGAGCAATATTGCGACGGCTATCCAATGACGGCAGCTGAATGTCTGATTTAATTTGCGTTATGTTTGACGTAATGCCGTAGTTTCGTGATATGAAGCGGGCACCTCTATTTTGAATCCTTTCTACCATAATAATCAAGTAGTTTTGATGAGGAGACCAAATTGCTGAGGCGAATTCTAATATTGGCAGAATAAAGGTAAGAAAGGCTAGTTTTCGAATATTAGTAGGGGAATCTCTCAAGTTGCGGCGTAGGTAGCCCAGTGAACGTGATGCTTTGGCACAGGTAGACTTGATATGTGAGGCCCATGAAAGATTCTCTGTGAGAAGAACACCTAGGTATTTGTAGGAAGAAGTATGGGAAAGCATGGTATTGTTTAAGTAATAGGAGAATTCAGAGTTTACGTGTTTACGGGTGAAAGACATTACCTCGCATTTTGTTAAGTTCAGTTTCATAAGCCACTTGTCGCACCAGTTACAAATATGGTTGAGATCTGCTTGAATGGTTAAGTGGTCATTACTGGAGTTTATAGAACGGTATATTATACAATCATCGTACTTATTAAGTACTTAAGTACTTATTAACTGTGGCTGCAAGCTGCTTGCACCTTGTATGTGCATTGTCTCTGGTGGCTGGTTCCAAGCAACTTTCTCTGGCACTTGGTGATCTCAGTAAGCATCACTTGGATATGACTGGCTTGCAAGTAGAGTTAGTTTATTGTTTCTGTGTAAAGGTGTGCTCATGAAGCACTGCATTGACATGAAGCACTGCACACATTTTGACAGGATACTCTGAGCATGGAAATTCAGATAGGCTCTAACGATAATAGAGGCTGCAGTTCTTTGATAGAATGGTAGCTTGGGCTTGTTAGTGATTATTGTTTATCTGGATCTCCATAGTTAGGAAATTTGGTTAACTGGCAGCACGGTCCCACAAAACTGTGTATACTGTATATACTGTACTGTGTATATATGTTGTCAAATGCTCGTTAATTCAGGGTGATTTAGCCTTGCACCGGTTAACTCTGACAACTCTGCAGAGATCTATCGGGGCTACAGCCAACCCTCGTTATAACAAAGTTTGAGGGGGAGTCGTAATTACTTCATTATAACCATTAGTTTGTTATAGCCAATATTCATTTGTACCAGCAATTAGCCAGCAAGATAGAATGTACATTCCAACAAATATCATAGCAGCCCGCCGCGGAGAAAAACGGCCGTCGGAAAGCAAAAAATAGCAAAATGACAAAGAACAATGCACTTTATTTCCGCTGCATTCAGCACACCAGCTGGCAGATCAATTCGAAAAAAAATAGTCCTTAATCTTATTGACTTTGCCGACTCTTTTTCACGTGGATGCCTGCTTTTTCAGCTGCAGCAGTTATTTCGGGTGCGTCCTCGCCGTCATCGTAAGCATTAAAGAAGCAGCACAGCAGGTCTGTCGCATTCAGCATTTGCACGGGCGTCGGGTTCGTGAACATTAGGCTCCGGGGTGTCGACACATTCGTCACTGTTTCCACGTCACTGTATTGTTTTCATTCGGCACAATTTCCACATCTGACAACTCTTCAGTTGTCGCCGCGTCAGCATCGACACCGACGTACATGCAGAAAGTGTTGCAGTCAGGCACAACGCCGGCGTTAAGGAGAGCGTCCCACGACGTCTGCGCAGGATCGCCCGCGGCCCCCAACGACATCGCCAAAATCTTCGGTTACTTTTTTTTTCTTGATGCCAGACTCAACAGCTTTCAACATTGCAGGCTTCTGCTCGATTGTTTATTTTTGCGCTTACGTTTGCTGCTGCCGTTGTCCATCTCATGCCTGGTGGCAGAAACTGATAGAGTTAGCGTTGCTCTTCCACTGGGAACGACAAGAACAAACGCCGCGATCTCCGTTGCCTCGGGGGCGTGTGAGGCTCCGGCGCGGAGCTGAAGGGGAGAAGGAGGTCAGATCCACAGGTGGGTCAACGAGTTCGACAGCAGAGGAGAGGCTAACTGACGCGCATGCTCAGGGAGTTGCTGGACGGGTGAGTCTATTAGTTCCTGAGGAAAGGGGAGGCAGGGAGCTTCACTTCCACACGCGTTGTGGCAGGCCGCAGGCGGCTTCCGAGGAGCGCAAGGCGCAAGTTTTGAATTACCACAGCCGTGATGAAACGTGAACCGTCGCACACTATTGAATTGATGTATTCAAAATATTGAATTGATGTATACCAAAATGATCAGTAAATGCTCATTGCAGACAAAGAATGGTTCGTTTTATCCATTGTGAGGACATTTTTGCTTCGTTAAATTGAGGTTTTAAATATATGGGCGTCTATGGGAATTTCAAGGGGAATTACAGTTGCTTCATTATATCTATTAGTTTGTTATATCCCGCTTTGTTATAACGAGGTCTTACTGTATATACTTTCCGTAATATAGATTGACGGTTGTTTTCAACGCGGGCATATTGCGTGCCAGCCCAGTTCTACCGCTGAGCCTGCTGGTGCTTATTGCCGGTTGATAAGGGCAAGGGAACAAGTGTCGTCATTGAGGGAGTCTTCGAAGTCGATGGTAGATGCACTGTTTGGTCTGTCTGTTTCGGTTTCGCTTGCTAAGTTTGCCAGATCTCATTTCCTCGCTATGATTATCAGTGGCCATATTTCAGAAATTTCAAAGTGGCTATGGGCTATTCACAGCAACGGTTATTCTTTGCTAATGTTCGTAGCGGCTTAGTAATGGATTATGGTTTTTATATGAAAGTTATTGTATACCTTGCTTGACTTCCGCTCTTTAGGGGAGCCAAAAAGCAGTTCGGAAACGGTAGTTTACTTCTCATTAGAGTATATTAGACTCGCAATTATTCAAACTCTGATAAATCACACTTTCAGTTAATTCAAACAAAATTAAATTTTTTGGTTGGCCCTCTATTCTTTTGATGTATTTAAAATTGAAAGCCTCTTAATTCAAACTCCATCATTCGGTTAATTCATACTTTTTTCAGGTCCATACCAGAAAATATCAACTGCTTTCCCACTACTATTTAAAGATTTGTGTGCTCATATTATTGGCACACAGAGGCTTGGCAAGTGAAGAAATGTTTGAAACGAAGCACATGCATGGTAAACCGCGATGCTTCTCAACTGGTATAGAGAGCTTTGTGCTGAAGGCGCATACCTATAGTAATGAAGCAGTTGGCTATTCACAATTTTATTTAAAATATCTTATCAGCTGTAAATGGCCAATAAACTTGTGGAATTTACACCTCTGCTTTCTGTTCATTGTGTGCAGTTAGGGCTTAGAAACACTTATAAATTTTAAATGTGATAAAATGAATGCCTAATCATAATGTGTGGTGTCACCTCACCCAGAATCATCTATATGAGAACTTCTGATAATTCACACTTCTTGATAATTCAAACAAAATTCAGAGGTCCCTTCGAGTTTGAATTATTGAGAGTTGACTGTAGTTTGGATTGACAATGATCTATAAGAGACAATGCATGTATGGATCACAATTTTTTACATAACATGTGGTGAGCAGCTAATTGCTGCTAGTGCTTACATTTCATCATACACGCGTCTTCTCAGCATTCCTGCTTTAAATGCTTTCCAATATCTCTTTGTCAACAATTTTTCGTGCGTTTTCCCTCTCTGACTGCTGGGGGGGGAGGGGGAACCTCGGCAGGAAGGGGAAGGTGAAGCTTTAAATGAAAAAAAGTCACAGTTTCGCCACAAGGCCGAAGCAATGAATACGGTAGCAGCACATCGGACTGTTACATTAAACAAGGCTAGGAGGTTTAGGGACCATATGAAACAAAATGTAGTGAACACTGTCGAATATATGTTGAGCTGCAGCATTGCTCACACGCACAGCAGTACATTCTTCCTGTGTCTGGGCATGTATGCAAGCCCAGTTTGTTTCAGCGCGACTATTATTTTGTTAAAGCTGTTAGTACTGAGGTATTTGCGCGACCTGCGGTGGCATCTCAAAGGCCGAACTACTAACAGTTTTTGTGCGCGTTTGTCCGGTGCTTTTTCCTTGGTGTCAATTGACGTCAACAATACTGGTGATGGTAGCGAAAAATACAGTTTCAATGTACTTCGCCGACATGTCCACCTCAGATTGTCCCAGACTTTGCACTGTGGGTATCGACGC